GAGGTATTACAGAATCACAAGATTGGACAGGAAGAAGCCGGGAAAAAATACTTTATCTAGAGACTGATTAGGGAATTTTGGGGGGTAGTTAATTTAGAAATGTCTGTTGTTTTCATCATGCCTCTTACCTATTCCTTTCCAGTCATTTAGCTACATTATACATATGAATAAAATAACATTATTTTCTATAAAATAGAATACCTAATTCATCCTAGGTTCCATTCTGACTGATATTAGTAATTTATGTAATTTACTTTTTGATTTGAAGTCCTTTAATGGCTTCATATTGCATTTAGTGTGAAAAAACACAAACTCCTTTCCATTTAAATTTTATGAATTTTATATTTACCTTTGTTAGCTCAGTATGATATCAACAAACAAGCAAGAACTTACATTCAAGCAGAATTGGGTGGATCTGAATCCTGGCTCCATCATACCCTGGACAGATAATTTAACTTCTTAGGACCCCATTTCTTCATCTGTGCAATGGTTTAAATAATAACTTTCAAAATGAGTAATTGTAAGGTTTAAATGATCTAGTGAATAGAAAGCATTTTGAATACTGTTCTCATCCAGGGCACCCGCCTTCTTCCTGAGGGAAAGCCAGACGCTCCTCCAGGAGGTCACACGTGTGGTTTACACGCACCAGTGGGCCAGCCAGGGCTTTTCAGGCATCCGGCACCCTCTTCCCCCTTATGATGCAACAGCGCTTTGCTTTGCTTTTGGAAAATTACCTCTCCCCTCTTAACAGGGAGACTTAAGGCCAAAGTGAGGTCACTAAGACCCAGGAGTTCAATCGTAAAGGGAGAGATGCAAGCACAGAATAAAGGGTGGAGCTGATTTAGGTAAGATCGGTTCCCGATCCCTGGATCCCTGATACACTCTCCGTGTCAGGCTTCTCAGCAGATCCTTGGAATCTCTGAGATAAGTCTATACCCTTCCAATAAATTCCCTTTTGCTTAAGTTAACCAGAGTCCTTTTTGGGTACCTGAAATCAAAGAACCCTAACTGATGGAAAGGATCATGAAAAGTCCCAGTCCCTCCTCCCCCCGCAAGGGGGCAACCTCCAGGGGACAAGGGCCTGGTTATGGGGACAGATGCATCTTATATCCTAAGCACCAGGTTTACAACTTCTGTATCAGGACAGTTTCCATCAAAATCCAAAGTCTCCCTTAAGCTAACAGTGATTGCCCATCGTTAACAAGGATACTCACTCTATCAGTGCCAGCCCTCAGGAAAAAGCCAACACACTGAGGAGAGAGAGGGATCAAGTTCATCTGGGTCAGGTTGAGGCTTCAAATGACACATCGCGCTTGGTAAACATTTCCTAAGTGATCCTGCAGCCTTGCACCTGAATTCAATTCCGCACTCCCTGGGGGTCTCTCTGGCCCAGACGCCATGGCAGGGGTTTCTCCTTCTCGCTAAATGCATACGCATTTGTACAGGCCACAGAAGTCCTCAAGGGACAGAAAGCTAAATTTATACCTTCGATTAATCTTCCCAAATGTTTCTGCCTGCCTTCGGTCTATACTGAGTCTCCTTTTGCCCAAATCACCCCAAGTATCCACTCCCATTAGCAGGCAATTACACAACTGCAAACAAAAGCTATTAACTGCCGTTTTAAAAAGTTTCTCAACTTTGAATCCATTCTTCCCAGTATCTCCAACCTCTTCCAACATCCTCTTTCAGGAGGCTTGAGTCCCCTGTACGACAACCTCCCCACACCCCCCAATCCATTAAGGCTCCTAGGAGGCCAGACCATTCGCTCTCTCCCTAAATAGGCCAAATTCCTACGCAACCTCTTACCCGGTCCAAATTTTAGTTCAGTGCCTCGAACACAGAAGCACCTGTCTGTGGCAGGCACCGTGCTACGGACTGGGAACACAGCCTTGAATCAGGTGCAGTCACTGCCCCCAAGATGCTAACAGACCACAGGAGAGAGACATTAAGCAAATGATTATAGATGGATGAGTCTCATCAGAGAGCAGGGTGCCAGTGGACCCTATGGGGAGACATTCTACCTCGCCTACAACCCTAGATAGGCCTCTCCTTGATGAAATGATGTAAAAGACGGGGAGACCTGAAGGAGGGGGACAGGGTGGACAACAGGAATCAAGAGAACTGTTTCTCTTTCACTTGGGGCCTTCTGGACAGCTGTCCCCAACTCAGGAAGAGGTCATGTTCGAAAAGTTTATTTTCCCATTCATGGATTTAGAGCTCATAATAATAAAACTTTATTTTTCCACAGAAATACACTTAGAAATAGTGGCTAGGTTTCCAGGCTGGTCCACTGGCACCCAATTATCTATAGTGTGCTGCACCATGTATAGCATTTTTTAACCAAACTCGTTTCTATGGGAAACGTATGCTGAGTCCTGATGTCCTGTGCTCACAAGTCCCACTTTTCCTCACTAACTCCCAGCAGCTCCCTCACAGAGGTCTCTCCAATCCAGCCCCCAGCCCCCAGTCCCACGGCCTTGGTTCAGGCCAACCTCATACCGACCCACGGCCTTGTGTCTGCGCCACAGCAACAAACTCAAAGCTCAGCCACCTGATCTTCAGCTGCCCCTCTCAGCCCTCTCCCCGCCTCCCAATGCTTCAGCCAGTCACTTTTTAAGGAACAAATGTGAAAATCTTTCAATGGTTCCCACTGCTCATTCGTTCTCCTTCTCAGCCTGGAATTTCCCATCGATTTTTCAAGACCTAACCCCTCTATCCAATACAACTTTTTACTTATTTCTATTCTAGCAGCTTATCAAGTTGTATTATAATTTGTGCTCACCTATTCAACAAATACGTGAGTACCTACTACCGGCCAAGCTGTGTGCCTTCGTGGAGAGAACACACTGTGAAGACAGAGATTAGGTTCTATTTGCATCTGCCCAGGCACCACTCAGCAGACACTATATTACACTATATTATATTATTTATTAATATCATATTAATATATGTTTTTTTCTTCCCAGGCTACAAGGCAATTCCCCCCCAGGGATGATAGCAATTTATACCTTCAACTAATGTTTCCCAACATGTTGGCCTGCCTTCAGCCTGGCAAGAAAAGAATCTTTTTCGTCACTTAATGCCAGATTCTCAACGTTGGCTTCCTCAACTGCAGCAGCAGAGGTCTTAACTTAGAGTTGAGTTCATATCTTATCTTTGGTAACTTCTAGCTGCTTGCTCTTAAATGACTTAATCTCTCAAGTTTCCTTATTTGGGAAATGGGGATAATACTACTTACTTCACAAGCGGGTTTAAACATTGATTCCCAAACCCAGCTGAATATCAGAATCACTGGGAACTTGAAAAAGATGCAGGATGAAAACGAAACAAGAAATCTGCATTTTTCAAAAGCCCCAAGTGATTCGCACGTGTAGCCAGATTGGAAACCAGAGATTGGAGGCTTAAATTATTCGTGAAGTACCTGTCACATTAACGCTCAATACCCAGATGAGGGGACTTCCCTGGTGGACCAGTGGGTAAGACTCTGTGCTCCCAATGCAGGGGGCCCGGGCCATCCCTGGTCGGGGAACTAGATCCCACATGCATGCCACAACTAAAGAGTTTACGTGCCGCAACTAAGAGTTCGCATGCTGCAACTAAAAATCCTGCACACCACAACGAAGATCCTACATGTGCTGCAACGAAGACCTGGTGCAGCCAAAATAAATCAACAAATATGTAAAAAGAAAGGGGAGAGATTAATTTAAAAAAAAAAAACAATACCCAGGTGTGCTGTAGAAAATGGGATTCTACCCTAAGGAACAGTGGTGGGAAAATAGGAGGAGCACGGGGAAGCGTTCTGGGCATAAACCGTACATGGAAGGAATTACATGACATGATATTCCCCTCAATTCCAATTAGAATCACCAGAGCCACTCTGGAAAGCAAGCAAACTGCCAGGAGACACATATTCTCTCAGCCCAGCCTTTCAAGATACTAACGGTGAGAAGTCCAAGCAGACAGGGGTGAATTTTTCCAAAGGTTAAGGTTTGTTAAGTGAATGTTGAAAATTTCAAAGGGGCCGGGACCTCAGAAAGAGTTGGCAACAGATGCAGCTGTTGGCAGCTGCAGCATCACCTATTACATCCGTGTTCTTCAAAAGGTAGCTTAGAACACAGTGATACTGGCAATGTGCTATCCTCCAAAACAAGCAGGACTGTTCCTATTTTCTCGGTGTTTCTCCAGCACCAGAATAGGGGTGCACAGCCCTGTTCCTTCCCATCACCCAACTTGTGATGAAGGAAGAGAGCCTGCCTAAGGCCGGGGCTAGACTTGGATGGTTCAGGAGTGTCACTGCACCTGCCTTTCACAGTCCATGGATCCTTAGAAAGAAAATACAGAAAGGGGATTAAACTAATTCTGTCCAGTTCCAAGACTCAGACCCATGGGTGGAGGTGACAAAAATGCTATACAGCATACTGCCATCAGATATAACCCCTAACCCAATGTTCTGAAGCATCCTGCTTCCTTATAATGAAAACCTAAAAATCCTGCTTCCAAGAATTAATCCTACAGGTATTTTCCAACACGTGAACAGAAGGAGGTACAAAAATGTTTGCTGGGACTTCCCTGGTGGCGCAGTGGTTAAGAATCCGCCTGCCAATGCAGGGGACACGGGTTCGAGCCCTGGTCAGGGAAGATCCCACATGCCACGGAGCGTCTAAGCCCATGCGCCACAACTACTGAGCCTGCGCTCTACAGCCCGTGAGCCACAACTATTGAGCCCGCATGCTGCAACTACTGAAGCCCGCGCACCTAGAGCTTGTGCTCCACAACAAGAGAAGTCCCGCTCACCGCAACTAGAGAAAGCCTGCGCGCAGCAACAAAGACCCAACGCAGCCAAAAAAAAATTAAAAAAAAAAAAGTTTGCTGTGCGGCTATAATAGCAACACACACTGGACACTCCTCAATGCCCACCAAGAGATGACTAGCTACATAAATTACGTCATATCTAAAAGAGTCAGCAGAGTAGGGATACAGAAACTTAAGACATACAACCATGAAGCTGTACATTTTAATTTACAATTCTTACCAATAAAAAGGATTAGTTACAAAACGGGAATTTCTCTATACAAAATTAGGATTTATTTTCTTTCACAAAGAGAATCTGCTGTCATGTCTTGCCTTGCCAAATCAAATCTCAAATAGCTTGCTTAGCTAAAGTTATTCCCCAAAGATAGGTAATCCAGACAAAATTAATAAAAATTATCAGCTTCTTAAATGTGTTTAAGAGGAAGAATTTAATGAACATTTTGCCTTGAACTGAAGAATTCTAAGGAATACTTGTAACCTTCAGAAAGACTACTGCTCTCAGGCAGTTGAGCTGCTGTGACAGCGTGTAGGAGACTAGCTCACTTACCGTGAGAATCTTCTTACACATACAATGAGTCTCCACTCCTGCACAGTGAGTGCAAGTATGATGTAACAGGAAGAAGGGTTTCTAAAATTTTACAAGTAAATTTTATTCTGGCCACAGGTCAACAGCAAACATATGACAGTTAGGGTTCAGATTCTCCCCGCCGCCTATTTTACCATATAAATTAAATATGAAGAGGTACACTCGAACAAACTTCATGAAAAACGAGGAGCGGATTTCAAATCCCCACTTCCTAGAATAACACACGTCACTGCTTCAGAGCGGGGCGAAGAGTCATACTCTTAGCACACAGTGTCTCCTGCACAGAACCGCTGGTCAAAATGTTCAAAGCCTTCTCTAGTTGACTCAAAGTATGGCAGCCACTCAGCACTGCTCCTAGCAGTTTGCTTTCAGAATAAAAATATAAAATAAGAACCTGTGTGAAACGTCACAGCCTTCAAAAAGCTATCCGGTGACAAGCCTAGCTCTGATGGAAAAAGCCCACCTGTAAAAAAAGGAGCTGTGGGTGAAGATGGTCTGATGTACCTTCATGACTCGAAATAAAAAAGCTCCTCAAACACAGATGATTCTAAAGCCATTACACCCAAAATCACGTGATTCACTTAGATGTGCTTACAACAGCTTCTAAATAAGATCTACATACAGAGGAGCTGCACCCTCCTCACAAGTAACTGAAGCATATGGCCATGGGGGTGGGGAATGGGGGCTCGGTTTAAAAAAAAAGACAACTTAAAGAGGGTTTAAGGTTCTCCCTCCACTCTACTCAATAAACATACACCCAGAAGGAGAAGGAAGTCAAATCAATCAATGCCCAGGCACCTCTCAAAGAGAGCTTCTCCCTGTGGCCAATGTGCTTTGGAACTTTCTAGCACAATACAAATCCACTACTCTGGGTACACACAGAGCCAGTATGCCCTACACGAGATGCATTGGGATTATGCCCACGGTTAAACACAGCCCCTGTGTAAGATGCAACTCCACTAGGGTTTTGATCACTTAGGATAAAAAAATGCCTAGCAAGGACCTTCAGGCCTCATTAATACTGATCTGTGGTCCTCATTGACTCAGCGGTGCTTTTTTTATCAGAACAGCTGAAGAGGTGGCAAACGGTGGCAACTGATATCAGGCCACGACTATCCCAAAAGCTGAGGAAGCTCTTCATCTGCTGTCCGCCTTCTGCACTACGGTTACGGTTCTGCCACCGTAAAACGCTGGGAACAAGGCCTCTGTGGCCAAGCCTTGGCAAAAGCCAACAAATAAAGCGAGCTTGTCAGAGGCAGGACCAATTCATGGGCAATCTCCTCTAGCTGCGAGTGTGAGGCTGGGGAAGGAGGAGGCAGGCGCGGGTGCGAGAAAGAGCTAAGAGCCCCCGGGACAGGGGTCTGGTGACCCAACGCCGGATACCCAGCTTGGTGCCAGCAGAGTGGGACCTGCCGAAACCCATGATTCAGATGGAAAAGGAAGAGAAGACACCAAAAACTAAGGTCAGTTCCGAAATCTGCCCAGTTGATATTTGTTCTTCTTAGCAGTAAGGACTTGAATGAGAATCACGAAACTCGAGGAACATGTATTTTTTCTTCAGGATTTAAAAAACTGTTGTCTTGTACTGAAAGACTACATTCAGTGTGGGTCAGGTCCAACAGCGTTAGCTAGAACTCGGTGGTAAAGGTCACCCGGCACTGGGAGGAAACGTCATCTGAGTGGAGGCTGGTGGGCAGGCCAGAGGCCACTCCGTCACTGGTCCCCGAGCCTAAAGCCCTGTCCCCAGTTGTGTCTCCCGCCTCCGCCGTTCTGGTCGGCGGCTCGCCTCATGCTAGCGGGGGGCACACCAAACCCTGACACCCCTCCTCTCCTGCTGGGCAGCCAGCGGTACCTAGAGCAGAGGGGGGGGAAGAAACAAAAGGAGAGAAAAGCACAGTCACTTCTCCACGCAGTTGTCCATCCCATCTCCCTTCCTGGGGTTCCCACGGCATCTGTCACATTGAATTACGTTCGTCTGTGGCCACGGAGAGGCTGAGGACAATGTCTTATTGCACTTTGCCTTTTCAGCACTTAGCTCAATGCCCTGACCACAGAAGTCACTCACTTTTTATGTTTCCTTTTTAATTTACTAAGCTTTCGCACTAACTTCACACTCTAACTTTTTTTTTCCCTGATTATAAAAGCAATTCGTGCAGGAACAGTATGGAAACAAAAATATTACACCCACGAGCCCAACAACCAGAAAGAACCATCTATATAGCATTTTAGTTTATGTAACTATGGCTCTAACTGGCTCAAAGGATACAAAATAAATTCAGTTCCAAAGGACAAATCTGCAGCCAGCGTGTTTGAGCACCGCCCGGCATCACCACGATGCTGCTGGGTTCTTCGGCGTCCATCAAGGGACAGCAGGGAAGACAGCTTTCTGTCCTGGAATTTGGGTGTGTTTTAAAGTTGATTCATAGTTTGCCCTCCAACTGCAATCTTTCTCTCATAGATGGTGGGAAAGCTGAGGCCCGAAAAGGTTAGCTGATTTCTCACCTTACAAATTAATAAATTAAGTCCCAGAACCGCTAAGAAAATGTAAACCCAGGACTCTATGTTCACAATAGTTTTTCTAACTACTTCCCTTCCTTGACTATTAGTAAACTGAGAATGTATTTTAACCTATTCCACTAATCAGATCCTGATGATTCAATTTCTGTCTTGAAGGCAGAGACCGTGATCTGATACCTCTTTTTAAACCCCTCATGGCACCAAGAGCAAACCACGAGGGGTGACTTGCCCACATCAGGAAGCCTGCAGAGTTCAATCTTATCATAAAGCATCTCCCTTACACCAGGTGCTGCATGTTTATAAGTGCCTCTCATCTTCACGACTGCCCTATGAGGTTGGCCCTACTATTACCCCATTTTATAGATGGGAAAACTGAGGCAGAATTGAGCAAAGTTCTTCTAAAGTGACAGACAGGATTCAAACCCAGGCAGCCTGACTCTGGAGCTCGTGCCCCACACCACTTCCTACATCTCACACTTCCGCAGGACACACAGCATGAGATTCAGGTGACAACAGTTAGTGACCGGAGTCCTCATGTGTTTACATCAACCCAGTTAGTTGCACGCTCCCTCCCCAAAGACAATTAAACCCCTTGTAAACAGAAAAATAACTGTGCACAGAAGAGGATCTGTCTACTTTTCTAAGTGGAATGCAAAATAGTGATACGACTTAGAATTCTATAACTCGCATCCTCCCTTTTAAACAAATACGGTTTTATCATTACATCAACATGTATTTCCAAGCGCTGGTTTCCCAACATTCATGACGTTCTGGCACAATAACATTCCTCCAAAGTATGTAATAAATTGGAAGACTTAAAAAAGGCAACACCAAGGCTGTCTTGCTTTGCTTCTTACTCTGAGACAATATGGAAGCCATCGCCACTGCTTAAACAGATAGTGAAATTAAATGCAAGTAATTAGTATAAAAAGATACCCAATTATACATAATCAACAAAGATTTATGGTAATTTCAAAGCAGTTACTGCTTTTGCAAGGAGCTACATTTTGTCATCTGATCTTTATGCAAAATTTAACAGAAGGGCTTCCACCAACAGGGAAAGCTCAAGTGGAAGGCAGGCTCCAGTGGGATGTCGATTTTGCCACTAGAATCCCATACACGTTGTTGCCCACAATTGAGAAATCTCTCCAAGCCATTAAGTCAGAATATGGCTGTTTAAAGTAAAATAGTTCTTGGCTGCCCCGCAAAGCAACAAATTTTTTTTTTAATGATGCATCTGCCATCTGACTTGATAAACCTAGATCAAAAATCCAAACCTGCTGTTACTGCGTCCTTTCATAATTAGAAAGCAGACTGGTCATTTGGTTTTTTTTTAGCCTGAAGGCAACTCAAGGCTCACACGAGAAACAAGTTTCTTCTTATGCTCTTAACGAAAAAAACAGAACAAAACAAAACAGGGCTTCCCTGGTGGCGCAGTGGTTGAGAGTCCGCCTGCTGATGCAGGGGACACGGGTTCGTGCCCCGGTCCGGGAAGATCCCACATGCCGCGGAGCGGCTGGGCCCGTGAGCCATGGCCGTTGAGCCTGCGCGTCCAGAGCCTGTGCTCCGCAACGGGAGGGGCTGCAACAGTGAGAGGCCCACATACCGCAAAAAAAAAAAAATACAACAATAGTGTACTTCTCTGTTTGTATACTGTATTTCACCATAAAAAACCTTCCTCTAACCTATAAAAGTAGAGGGAAGGGGTGCCTACTCAAGTTTACTGCCCTCATTGACCCCCTGGAAGAATGACAAACTGGAAAACATTAAAACGAGCAAGATGTGAAAAGGGTTTTTTGCTTTTTTTTTTTTTTTTTTTAAGCTTCTAAGTGCTATTATTGCATACGCCCGACTGGAGATTAAGCATGATTGTCAGGCCGGCTGTGACACCCAGATGGTGATTTCACTTGTCCCGTCTTCGACAGCCTTTTGCTTCACTGACAGAATGGTCACACTACTTGAACGCTTAAGTGTGTCAGCATCTCTGGGGGCTCATCAGAATCCCGCCCCCCGCCCCAACTTCAGGAGCAAGGCTGAGAGCTTGTATTTGCTGAGCATCCGCTACTGTGCTGCTAACGGTAAAGCCTACCTCCTGCAGACCCGTGAGACAGGGCCTCCCCGCAACACACAGACTCGCAAACTAGAGCTCGGGGGATTTACTAAGTCACTTTCACAATATATGAACTGGTAGACGACGGGAATGGGATTCCAACCCAAGTCTGTCTCGAAACCAAAGCTGTGCCCCTGGCCTCCTCACTTTAGTAAACTCTGCAAACAGAGAAAGAACACGCACATCCTCCCAGGGGGCGGGACTATACAAGCCTCCCATCTCTCATTTTAACGCTGAAAAGTCCTTTAAACATTCTGGTCTATAATACTGAATATAAAGATGTTTTAAACTGCTAACCAATGAGACTACTTACCCTCTTACCCCTTCCTCAGGCAAAATCTTAGGTAAAACTGATAACCCTGTCACCCTGGCCCCCTGCTGCACACACCGGATGCACACAGGCGTGCCGCCCGCTTTGCAGGGCCCACGGCTCCCCGGGACGCCTGAATCTAGGCTCAGCGGCCCCTGGCTACGAGGGCTCCAGGAGAAGACCAGGCCTTGGCTTGGAGTGACCTGGGCAAGTCCCTGGTTGGCTCACATTGCTCCATCAGACTGAGAGGGAAACCTCACCCCTCACAGAGTTTTTATCAGGATGCTGACAAACACGGACAATAAGATGATTATCAAACGAGAGGGGGAAGAAACACTTACAAAAACTGAGGCGTGGATAGAAAATTCCTTCCTCCCAAGTCCATTGGGTATCTGAACATGAGGAAGAAATAAAGATGTCCAACAAGATTTCCAATTAGCTCATTGATGACCCTGCAAACAGAGAGCCAAATGAGTTTAAAGACATTCAAGCAGTGAAGTGAGACACAGCAAGTTTTAGCTAATAGCAGAGGGAAGAGATCCTTCGTGGCAGCCTGCTTCTGGTCGCTGGGAGTCTGTGACAGCTCGACAGTCAGCCCTTTTATAAAGTCTGAGAGGCACAGGCATTCTGAATGAAAAGCAAATCCGTCCTGCTGGACCAATGGGGTCTGTGCTCTTCAAGGCCAGCTGCCCCTCTGACAACTCTTTCAAGCCCCTGCCCATCCTCAACATGTTGTTTTTGCTACTTCCTGCCTCAGGAGTTGGGGCAAGCCGCAAAGCAAGCTTTTGAACGCTTTCAGTCACGAATACCATATTTGCAAAACGTGGGTAAAACTGAAGGCTGGCAAGAGAGAAGCATGGGAGTAAGGAAAGGAGGGATGAAAAACGTCCACTCCCTCGTTCCTGGAACCATGGATCACGTCTCCCTCACCTCTTGGGTCCCTGACTGTAAGACATCACAGAGATCACTCTGGAAAGCTGACCTTCACCTTGTAATCCTAAAATAAACACTGCCCTTCTTCAATCTTCCCATGGCTGACACACAGGCCACTTCAAGGTTTTACAGATCAATTCTTACTGTTACATATCCTTCTCCGCCTCCGCCTGCAACATGATTCCTCTTAGGGACAAATCACCGTCTACAACTGCTCCCAGATTCTGCCCTTCTGGGCAGCAGGGCAGTTTTACCAAGCCCCAGACTTGCTCTACTCTAAACAGAATCTGTTTACTCGATTCATTCCCTTCTCCCTGTGGATATGCAGCAGAAGTTAGGACCATATAGAGCAAAGAGGTCATCGCATTAAGAACTAGCACTAGCAAAATCCGTTTAAAAATGTTAAAAATATTTTGTGGTGTAAGAAACAGGAGTTCTTAGAATAACTGCATCTTGAAATCCTCCTTCCAAAATTCTGACTGGATGCATTCAAGATTTTCCTAAGTCTCAGGTCTAATTCCAGACTAGAAATTTGACCCTGTTTGGCCCAAACTTCTATACTATTAAACCACTGACAAAACTTCCCATCTGAGAATCTGTGCATTTCTGTGACTGGTGAGCAGTTTCCAAGGCATTCTGGAAATGCCTTAAGAATTAAAAAAACAGGAATTTTACGCACAGAGTTGGCTTGGATAAAATTAGGTCTGTATTTGCTCAATCTGGACAGTGAATCCAGAAATAAATATTTATTCAAAAACACATATATGGAAGCATACTATAACAACAAACAACAACAATAATAAAAAAACCATTCAGTGCTAAATGTGCTTAAAGCCCTGCAATTTTAATCAATTACATCCAAATGAAATTGTTTCAAAAGTATAAGGTACCAAGGTATCAACGTTGAGATTCTTTGAAGTGTTATAAAGATTAGAGAAGGAGGATAAAGAATAATGGAAGTCTTCCAAGGGTTAGTTTGCAATTAAATAAATCTAATATCACTTACGAGCCTCCGATGATATAGTTGAATCCAAGGATAACCCAAGGTAAATAACAGGCCTAGGAAAGAATACACACAAACATGAATACACCTACAGAGGATACAGCTGCTAGGGGGCTGAAATGGGGAAGGTTCTACTGAGAAGGGCTTTTATAACACACCACTGTAAAGCAATTATACTCCAATAAAAATGTTTAAAAAATAAATAAATAAATCCTTTGGAAAGTCACTGCAAAAGTTCCTTTTAACAATCTAGCATCATTCCTACTGTTTCAAGCCTTCTTATTTATTTATTTATTTATGGCTGCGTTGGGTCTTTGTACTTTGTCTAGTTGCGGCAAGCAGAGGCCACTCTTCGCAGCGGTGTGAGGGCTTCTCATTGTCGTGGCTTCTTTTGCTACGGAGCATGGGCTCTAGGCACATGGGCTTCAGTAGTTGTGGCATGCAGGCTCAGTAGTTCTGGCTCGCAGGCTCTAGAGCGCAGGCTCAGTAGTTGTGGCGCACGGGCTTAGTTGCTCCGCAGCAATGTGGGATCTTCCCGGACCAGGGTTCAAACCCATGCCCCTCCACTGGCAGGCAGACTCCCAACCACTGCGCCACCAGAGAGGTTCCTAGCATCATACTTATTCAGATATTAGCAATTGGAGACAGAGTACTTTGCCCATAGTTTTCAGATCCTATACATACCCTGCTGAATTATAACAAATAGCTTTAGAAAGAAGATGAGTGTCTGGGACTTCCCTGGTGGCACAGTGGTTAAGACTCCGGCTCCCAATGCAGGGGGCCCAGGTTTGACCGCTGGTCGGGGAACTAGATCCCACATGCATGCCACAACTAAGAAGCCCATATGCCGCAACTAAGGAGCCCACCTGCTGCAACTAAGACCTGGTGCAAGCAAATAAATAAATAAATACCAAAAAAAAAGAAAGCAGATGAGTGTCCTATGGATGCTAATAAAAACATGGTCCATAATAGAGTCACATTAAGACTCCTGCCAGCAAATTGTTACCTATCAGCTATAAAACACCCCATCTTTTTAGGTTCTCCTTTTACATATTTCACAAAATTACTTTGAATCTTTATCACATTACACATTGATCTCTTGAACTAACACTCTCCCAAGTAAGACAGCTCTCCAGATGAATTCAACATTTGAGCCCCTGTAAAAAAAAAAAATTAGCAAACAGAACCCTCCATTAAGTAGGGTTGGGAGACCAGAAGGGGGAGCTCTCACGCCCTGTTTCAACAGCAGAGCCCAAGAGGAAGAAGACAGACTTCTTTCCCTGCAAGGACTCAGCCAATGAAAAGCTTTGTTTACCACACCTCTTGACTTCCTTTTCCTCTTTATAGAAAAGCGCTCTCCTTCCCTTTGCATGTAGGGACTTGCTCGTGGCTCACCATGGTTGCAGACCCCAAAATGCAGTTCTCCACTGATCCCAAGTAAACCCATCTTTGCTGCAGAAGTATCTGGCAGCCTATTTACTTGAGGTCAACACCCCTTACCAGTTTCAAGACACCATACTAAGAGCTAAGGGCGTTGCAAAAAACATCGCAAACTGGTAAAGAAAGGGTTACACATCAATAGCTTGAAGGCAGAATGCAGTGACTACTATAAGAACACAGCAGAAGCCCACAGGCAAGACCAATTCCAGGGAGGAGAGGCAGGAAATATGTTTAGTCCCCCACTCAAATTAAGAATGGGCAGGATTTACATGAGAAAGAAAATAAAAAAGATGTTACAGGTGGAAAGCTGTGAGAGAAGGCACAAAGGGAAGTGTTGGGGCGGGGGAGACCAATCTGTTTCAGCTTAAGTGTAAAATACATAACAGGCAATGATAAGAACAGACTGAAAGAGCGGGTTCCACACGAGTGTCCTTCCTCCCCTCCCCCTACCACACACACATACATGAGATCACTCAGGACACATGCCTAAAGGGCCTGAGCTCCAGAGGGAGTGAGAAGTAATAGTCAGCAAAGGCCTCAGGGTTGGCTAAAGAAACCCAGGACTGAGGAGGGGAGAAGGGGCTTGCCTACGGTTTACTGCTCTGTAGTGACCTCTTCTGCACGTGTCAGAAAGTACATCTCTGGGCTGAAGAGAGGGATTTCTGCAAAGACAAATGAAAAGGAAATTTTCCCAGCTAGGTTAGAGTACCTTAAATCGTGTTCCAAACCAAAATGATACAATCATGTCTCTGTTCAGCTGGGCCCAGACATAAAGTACTGACATGATCAGAGGAATCATCAGCAACTGCAAAAGAAACGAACACGTAAAGGCTCCAGATGCACTTAAAACAGAGGCTTAGCGTAAACCTACCTTTTTTTGTTTTTTAACCTCTCCCCTCCAAATAAATTCTCCCATGGTTATTCAAAAAGCAGAAGGAAATTCAACTCATCAGAATTACTTAATCATGCAATGCATGCTTTAAAATCCTCTAATAAAATACAACACAATTATATTATTTGGGATGGATTCAGAAATATCAGGGTCAAGCTCTGTTACTTGGAAAAAGTATGCAATAAAGCTTTACTTACCATGTATTCTCCATTTTTAAAAAATACATATCCACACACATGCACAGAAAACACTGGATAAACCATCGTTCTCAACGTTCATACATTAATACAGAAGCCAGAAATGAGCAAGGACAGTAATGATTTAGGTAACTCACATAAGAGCTTCAAAATACCATATAATTAACCACGCAGTTAATGCAATTTAAACTTCTGTCAAAGGTCATTAACAGTAAGTCTGAAACACATGAAAGGCCAAATAGTTTCAAGGGACACTTACCTGCATATCCATCGCTAAGCCAGTAATCTGGGTTTGTAAAGTTAAAGATCAGACACAAATAAAGCATATTCTACACCTAATAGAAGTTCATTTCATTCCAGTTTTCTGAAGGAAAACACTTTTCTATAGTTCAGGTTGCTTAAAACACCCCGGAACACAAAGGTATCTAATAATCTTCACTGTGAACACGCTATTAAACTATCCGATGACGAGGAAATAGTAGAAATTAACTGCTTTGGCACATGACTCAGTTTGGTTGCCTGTGTCCTCCGTGCCCTGCCACTGTATTTTAGCAGCTCTCCTTCAATTAGGAGATGGAGGGGCATGTGAAACATGCCTCTGAAACAAATAATGCGTCTGTTCACATTCAGGGCTCCACAGCACAGGTGAAGTCCAAAACAATCTTTTTATCTTCCCTTAAAGGAGGGAAAGGGCATCCAGAGTGCCACAGTTTTCTGGCTCTTGGCCAGGTTTCAATGGACACTAAACCCCAAAGCCATTCTGAGCTCACCAACTGTGCACAGGACTTGAGCCACCAAGCCCCTTCTGCTGCTCTCACTATCTGTAAAGGTCTGCGGCCGGAAGGCTGCTGACAGCTGTGGTTGACACACAGCAAGCAGAGAGGCATGCTGTGTCCTTTCCCAGAGCCAGGCACTTACAGAGGGACCGAATTACCATTTAGGACCTCGAGACAAAGACAGCACTAAAGTCAGAAAGGATGCTGGTTGTAAATTAATTTTCTGATAAGGACCACAGCTTTCAAAAGCTATCTCATGGCACGGAATCTCTCTGAGCTGCAGTCAACAAGCTGCCCCACACCAGAACACAGAGAACTGGGAACAAGAAGAGGGAACAGTAATAAAACTCAACCAAATGTGGAAAAACCCCACAAAGGCAATGGTAGGGGAATGCATCACTCCACGGCTATGTGATTTACTACTGCTTTTGACAAGAACTTTCATGATTCTTAACTATTAACTATAGCAAACAAAGATGCAAATACTATCATTTAAAATATTATGCAGATTACTGCCCATTTCCCCAAACCTGAAAAAAAACCTGGTTATTTCTGGCCCAAAATGACAGACGGAAGGATACCACGATGCAAATCCAGTTGAAGAGGAGCATGAATAAATAGTCTGCTGGCCTCCCATCAAAAGCTCCTGGAAACAAAAGTAAGCCAAATGTCATGGTTCAGAATTTCGGAACAAAGAGACTTCTATGTTGAGAAATACTTCAAAAAATTGTAGAGAAAACACAAAATGAGAATATTTTAAAACCACTCCTTGGAAGTAAAAGAAAATTTTAATATATAAAACCGTGTCCACAATTAAGCCCTAAAGTAAAGTTGCCCGGGTGTCAAGGCTGATAATCTGTGTTCCCCTAACTGAATTCCAGTCCATAAAATGCTCTGCTCAACTAGCACGAGCCAAAAGAAACCCAAAGGGAGGACAGTCAGGTCCACAGCTACTGAGACCCCATCTGCTGAAGCCCCTCACAGCCTGCTGGCCTTTCCTTCATGGCTCTCATCATGAGACGGAGACCTATTCGTGATTACCTGGTTAATCCCTTCTCCCTCCACTAGACCATAAGCTCCGTCAGGGGAGGAACCATGTCCGTTCTGCCTACCACTGCGGCTCCTCCACACAACTAGGCTGGGAAGCACTTACTGTTGTTATGACTGGAGACACGCGCACACGTACGCGCACACACACACGCATGTGCACACACACACGCACGCGCACTACCGCACAGTCCAGCACTGGGCTCACCAAGAGGATTCGGTCTCCGTCTTCCAGGACCTCATATTCTAGCAAAGGAAAACAATGGTGGGGGAGTAGGGGGCAGCCACACCTTTCCATTTCCCTGACTCTTCCTACCATATCTGTGAGGGACAAAGGAAAGACCTACACCCTCTTTTGGCAGATGAGGAAGTACAGTTACATGACCAAAGTCACATGGCTTTTAGAAGCAGAGTGAAGTCTAACTACTAGTTGAGTGTTCTTTCTGCTGCGCCACATACTGGGCTTTGTCTTATTACTGGGCAGAACAATCAACATTGGCCCAGCTCTCCCTTCTAAGGATGATCCTCATGCCTCCAGCTGCAAGACTAAGAGAGGGGCGGAGAAAAGAACAAATGACTGTAAGTTCCCTCTATCTCAAACGGTTACCTCCCCCCCCTCCACACCCCATCACAATTACACGATATATATAGCCCATTTAAAAAAAATAATCCTGGGCTTCCCTGGTGGCGCAGTGGTCGAGAGTCCGCCTGCCGAAGCAGGGGATGCGGGTTCGTGCCCCGGTCCGGGAAGGTCCCACATGCCGCGGAGCGGCTGGGCCCGTGAACCATGGCCGCTGAGCCTGCGCGTCCGGAGCCTGTGCTCCGCAACGGGAGAGGCCACAACAGTGAGAGGCCCGCGTAACGCAAAAAAAAAAAAAAAAAAAGACTGGCTATGGGATAACTGTTAAAGATGAGTGATGATTAAAAGGGGCTCATACTGACACATGCTACAACATGATGAACCTCAAAAATATTATGCTAAGTGAAAGAAGCCAGTCACAGAAGGACACATAAAATGTCCGAAATGGGCAAATCCATACACAAAGTAGATGAGTGGTTGCCAGAGGCTGGGAGGAGGGGGAGGGAGGATGGAGGCTGCTGGCTTGGATTTTTTGGGGGGTGATGAAAATGTCTGGAATTAGTGGTGATGGCTGCACAACTTTGTGAAGATACTAAAGACCACTGGGTTGTACACTTTAAAATGGTTAAAATGAGGAACTTTATGTTAGGTGAGTTTTCTCTAAATGAAAAGGAAAAAAAATAAAGAGGTTCATTAACCTTTCTCTCTACTTTTGTATATGTTTGAAAATGCCCCATAATACAATTTTTAACAAGTGGTCACAGATCATCCACATTTAATCTAGAGTTTACTACTGATATAAAAAAAAAATTCCTCCCACAGCTTAACCCTCAATGAAATCATATCAGAGGGGTAGAATGCTAAGCAAGTTGGCAAGGGAGAATGAACATCATATATGCTGGTAGATTTAAGGATCCAATCCCCGATATGGCGGTCAGAGTCCTGGTTGTCAGTTTCACCTCAGCCAAGTCACTTCACTTGCTTGAATCTCCTGTTCTTCCTTTATAAAACTAAGGGAATGGGCTAGGTCCCTTCCAGAAGTAATAGTCTATTACCCCAAACTTTGTATTAACACGGTGATTTCCCTCTTCTTAAAAAGCACCTAACAGCAAATGCCAATTTAAGGAAAAATGATATTTGACACCGAATGTCCAACCTTCTATATCCCTGCAGTTGTGAGACTGATTCACAATTCTCAAGCATATGAGCACTGACTTAGATTTAAGGGTAGCTCAGAATTTTCTAACCTGAGCTAACAGCCATCAGGTTTCTAGTCTCTGAAGTCAGACCACATTTTCAAAATCATTTAGGCTTTGCCAAATTATATTTTGACACAGCAGTCTATCGAGTTATTGCTTCTCAGTATAAGTAACTCAGAAAAGCATATAAGGTATTGTAGAAAATAAATAACAATTCAGTAAGAAAGTTTTAAGAAAAGAATTTTATAGCTTATCCATATAGGTAGTCATACCTGAAAAACTACCATGCTATTAAAATCCTGGCTATATATTTTTTAAAACTTGAGTGCTTCATATTGAGTATAAATGCTCTAACACAGTGAATAATAATTAAAAAAAAAAAAAAGAGGGACTCCCCTGGTGGCACAGTGGTTAAGAATCCGCCTGCTAATGCAGGGGACACAGGTTCGATCCCTCGTCCAGGAAGATCCCACATGCCACAGAGCAACTAAGCCTGTGCACCACAACCACTGAGCCTGTGCTCTAGAGCCCACGAGACACAACTACTGAGCCTGTGTGCCACAACTACTGAGGCCCGCACACCTAGAGCCCATGCTCCGCAACAAGAGAAGCCGCCACAATGAGAAGCCCACACACCTCAACAAAGAGTAGCCCCCGCTCACCGCAACTAGAGAAAGCCCACGCGCAGCAACAAAGACCCAACGCAAACAAAACTAACTAAATAAATTTATTTATTAAAAAAAATTTTTTTTTAAACTTGCATGTTTCAATTACAGAGACTAAGTCTAGGCTTTTACTTGCATAAAGTAGTGCTTTTCAACCCCAATTTAGGAGATATATACACTTCAGCCCAACTGTGCTTTAAACAACAGGGACTGCTGTGTGACAAATGAGGGAGACGTCACATGAAGTGAGAGGCACACACAGGAGATGGACAAGATGTGTAAACCTCTGCTCTTGTATTTTTGTCACCTATAAAGTGGTGACACTGCTGCTTACATCTCATGATGACGCTGTGAGGATTAAAAAACGAATACTCTAAGCGCCTAGTAGACTCCTGGCACAGTCACTACTTACTGCGCATTTACAGCATTATGTCATTTCTTTATATACGCCATCTGCCCTCAAAATTCCTCCAATAAGTAAATACATGGATTAGTAAATCAGACAGAAACAATACTTAAAACAACCACAGATAACATACCTGTTTCGAGTCGTGTAGAGTACTGATATAAGAAATATAAATTGACCAAATAAAGAAATCCAGTTCCTGGACCCACAGGGAAATAAAAGGTGGCAGTAATCGGCCTCCAAATCTGTCCAGATCAAAATAAACACGGCTGTTAGTTTCTCTAAGCTGGGTGTTTTTTTTTTTTTCTTTTAACTAAACAAAATTAACCCTTGAAAAACATTCTCCTCAGTGATGAGAGCTACCAAATGGACATCACCAGTATAATTCAAGAAAACTGAAGAAAAGTTCATATTAGCTACAATGACTTCAATGTGCAAGTCAATGGAATGAGATGGCATCATAAAATAAACAATAAATATTTCTAAACAAGTTGAAAAAAATCAATACTAAAGACATATATGGTTAATCTTTACTGGGATCAGGCTTATAGTTATGCCTATCAAAAACGAATTACAGTATAACTGAATCACTTTGCTGTAACACCTCAAACATTGTAAATCAACTACAGTGGGAAAAAAAAAAGAAAAAGAAAAAAGATTTATAAAGATAATTTCCAACAGTATAGTAATTGTCTCTATTTAGGAAAAGAATACACTGGGATGACAAACCTTGTCAAAATAATGTCATATTCAAAAGATAGAAGTAAAACAGGAACTTTCCATTCAAATCAATGTGCTATTTAGGCAATATGGATACATAACTTAAAAATATTCCCTTCCCCCCAAAAAACTACAGAAGGTCTACAGTGAGAAGTAAGCCTCCCTCCTGACCCTCAGTCTCCCAGCTCCTTTTCCAGCAAGAACGGACCCATTTATTGTACTTCTTTCAAGAAACAATCATTTCTATTACTATTATTCCTCCCTTTTCACCCTAACTTACCTTGCACTGTTCTATACCTTGTTTCACTCCCTTGAAAAAATATTTTTATAGGCTTCATAATATTCCTTCTGTGTGGATGTCCAAACTTCACTGAAACTATTACAATGCTACAATGAATATCCTCTTTATACATGTACATATAGGATAAATTCCTGTGAGTCAACCTGCTAGATCAAACATTTGCATTTAATTTCAGCAGATATTGCCAACTGCCTACAAAAATGTTTAACCAATTTATATTTCCTCCTAAAATGGAGATTAATGCCTGTCTTCTCTCCACAGCTTCACCATTTAGTGTATTTCACAGTCACCAATCATGTTTCTAAAGCTTTAGCATTTTCTTTCTTCATTTTTCTACTCAATTTGCATTTCTTTACACATTATGGAAATTGCCCTTTCTCACTGTTGCAATTATTTTCTGGTCTGTCATTAGTCTTATGCTTTTGTGGTATTTTTGCCATATAAAATGAAATGGAAAAGTTTAATTTTTATATAGGCAAATGTATCCATCATGTATCACGTTTACAAGTACTTCTCCCCTCCAAGAATACAACAGTGCTCCCAGTTGTACTGTGGTTTATGTAAGAAGTGAGAAAGAGAGTCAACTTATTTTTCTAGACGGTCACTAGTTTTCCCAATACTATTTACAGAGTGACCCATCTTCTCTCCATTGATTTGAAAAACTACTTTCATCATATATTGATTCCCTTTTATAGGAAAGTCTACTTTTAGACTATTCTGTTTGGAATCGAATGCCAATACCAATACCAAAGCTATTTTAATTTCTAGTTTTATAATGTATTTTCTTATCTGGCAAAGTTATATAATTAAATAATCCCCCTCCTGTTTTTCTTCCACATATGTCACAATCTTCTTGGCTAGTCTCCATATTACTTTTCTAAATGAACGAGAACCAACACCTTTCTTATTTCACGGTGATAAAGACAGTTTCCAGCCAGAAAGTCTTTCGTACCTTTCTATTGAGCTTTTGATTTCTATCTTTTTTATACTCAACCACCAAAGCTGAATTATCTAATTGTTTGTGATATTTGAAAACTCAGCCTCTTGCACTTTCCAAGTATACAACTCTATCTGTAAATAAAATTTTGTATCTTCTTCTTGCCTAATTTACTGGCTAACACCTCCAGAATAATGTTAAGTTATAGAGGTTGAAGAAGATGGCCTTCCCAGACTTGGAAATGCCAACATAATGCTGGCTTTTGTCTTGAGAGCTGTGTCTTATCGCATGAGTGTGAAAGATACGGTCCCTACACCAAGGAGGTCTCGATAATGGGGAGTCTGTCCAAAGAAGCAAGAGTAGGGACAGGAAGGGGAACTTTTGGTCTTGGAAAAATGAGTACAAAGTCCCAAAGAACTGCAAGAGCACAATAATGAATGGGTATTGCTCACGATTTGGGTGTGGCTAGAATGGAGGGCATTAGCTGTGGGGCTGGCCAGGCATAGCTGACAAGTCAGGTTCTCCAAGTACAGAACTGTAACCCTCAGAGCCTAACTCCCTGTGGAGGAGAATGCACTTCACATATCCCAAAAGTCACTTCCAACAACCTTGAACTAAACCAGTAAAACAAAATAGGTTAAAATTCATTTTGGTTTATTCACAATTTTATCTCAGAAACAGTTGGGTCTGATGGAAAGAGCATCGGAAAGGATTTGAGAAGACAGAGACTTCAGTAGGGGCTTACAAGTCAGCAGTCCTGAGTCTCAATTTCCATTTGTAAAAGAGGAGTGATATACTAATACTTGCTCCCTTTTGGTTAATGGTTAAAAAAAAAAAATAGTGTACTATTATGCTCATTTACATGTCCTAACTCAGGGGGTAGATTGTGTAGATGAGGAAGCAGAATGAGAAAAGGCCAAATAATAGCCAGTAAGTGGCTGAGCTAGAATTTTGTCCCAGACAGCCTGACTCCAGAGTTTATAATACTAATAAGCCCCTATTTCTACAATGCCTCTCACAAGTGACATCATTACTACGAGATATAATTAAAATCAGTAAAAACTTTTAGTACCACTATACTACTTGTATAATCCTGAAATGAACAGAGCGTAAGCTCACAAATTCACTCTCCCCGCTTTAAGAAAAAGCATTGGGGGTAAAAGACCAGAAGCAAGCAAGCTGTGGCCTTGGCTCGGGGCCTTGGAAGAGTCTGGACCTGTGAGTTTGCATCTTCATCTACCCAGTAACATCTGTCCTTTGACTCCCGCCTTCCTCATCTCACAGATTTTGTAAAAGGTTGGAATTAAGAAAGCAGATTAAGAAGGTGCTTTGTAAAAAAAATTTGTGTGGGCATACAATTATTACAATCTTTTAGGAGACACGTGCTGACCTGGTTTTTACAAATTCACATTTTAAACTCCCCCCGGATTCCTCTCAGTTACTCCAGGCCTGATTTTGGAAAAGAAACCTCAGGGGTTTTCTGACTACATTTTTCACTAACACTTGATGCCATGATGCTATTTTTAGCCACTGTGTGCACCTGTGCTTTGGAAATCAGTGTCTGTCAAAATACCGCACACTTCTTTTCCCAGTTCATTATGCTTACCCTTGAGGTACACTTGCTCTCACTGATCTAAGGGACTTAGTATTATTTTTACATCACTTTAAAATTATAATCTGAAAACACCAGGAGATAGCTCATCTCTTCAGAGGGACACAGTGTAATATATTTCTGAAATCCCCCTTGCAGGTAACCAACTAAATCCCCTCCTCTCCTCTGATATGTAGATAGTTACGATAAGGAAATGGCTTTATTTTCAGGGCTGGGAGTGGTGAAGGCACCTTTCGAGCCTAGAAAGCCTGCACTGACCCGTAAGAAGCAGCCAGGGGCAGTGCAAAGAGCCTGGGACTTGCAGGCAAGCATCTCACTTTAACCCCACAGCAATCCCAAGGCCGGAAGCATAATCACCCACCTTTTCACGAGGAACGCTGGGCCCTCGTTAGAGTTGAGGTAACCCTCCCAGAGTTCCTCACTTAGCAAGAGCAAGAAGCCCACGTGCTCCCTGGCGTAGAGGCCTTCAAAGAAACATCAGACACTGCTCGTCGTCAGCTGCTAGTCCGACAACTTCTGTTGAGTGTTTAGTTCAACCATCCTTCAACAAAAATCTCCCAAACAATGTGCTACTGAAATCATTACAAACGCCACCCAGAGTCTAGGGCAGGTTTTTTAAACTATCAAAAACAAAGATTTTTCTGCAACAATACAGAATGGTTGATTTGGAGTTAAAGAAAGTCTGCCTAGGTCATCAAGCAAGTAAGAATGAAGAGCACCAAACGCTGATGTTAGCAACCTCTGGCTTTTCTCTCTCTTTTTTTTTTTTTTTGGCAGGAGGTGGCGGTGTGGGGGAGAAGAGCCGGGGGTGGGGCTGGGGGGACACTAGACAGGCAAGAAAATCAAATGAAAGGCACTCAGTCTCAACTGAGGACGTTAAACCAGCTATTAGGAGCCATCAATTCTACTCCTAGGTACGTATGCATACCTATTGTCACCAAGACGTGTTCCAGAATGTTCACAGCAGCACTACTCATTCTAGCCAAAACTAGAACTACCCAAAAAGCCCGTTACCAGCAGAAAGGGTAAATAAATGGTGGTCTGTTCACACAAGGGAACAATATAAGGATGAGCAATCTATAACCACATGCAACAATGTGGGTGACTCTCAAACTGTTGAAAAGAGGCTAGACACAAATAAATACATATTGTGTAATTTCATTTATAGAACAGTAAGAAAACTGGCAAAAACCATCTACGGTATTAAAAGTCAAGACAGTAGTTACCCTTGCAGTGGGTAGTGACCAGAAGGGAGCAGCAGGAAGGTTTTGGGGATGCTGGCTGTGTCTTGATCTGGTGGCTGGTTACATACTGATGTTCAATTTTTGAAAATTCAACAAGCTATAAATATATAATACATACACTTTCCTGCTTGAATACTGCAACTCAACAAAAAGTTTAAAAATGAAGCTATGAGCTCAACCTTAGCTACAGACCACAGCAGAACTGTCTTACGTGGACAGGATTGCAAAGGAAAGATTTTAAAGCTGTACATACCAGAACACTTGCCATAAAGTTCTAAATCCAAACCCTGAGGCTACTTCTATGCTCAGCCCACAGACCAAGTTCATTCCCCTTCCGGTTACGGGTCTATATGACTCTCTTTCCCAACACACTCAGATGAGTCTGCTAGGGCTGCTGTCATCAGGCTAAATGTGAGAACATGAGCAAAAGCTTGTTAAATAAATATCAGCACCAGGCCTGGTCACAGACTCGGTTGGTGCTATTTCTTTTTGTTCCCGGAAACAAATCAGAGAAATTGAGAGTACATATCTTCCCATTTCTAGTCAGGACGCCTTTAGTGGGACAAAAAGAAGGATAATAATCCAGCAGTTACGTTTTAATTTCAATTACAAATTAAAATTAGAATATTACTGCCCAAGGAGAGAAGGCAGCAATGGCAGGAATTATTATTGACTAATAAGTAAAAATAGGCACTATTTTTTTAATAGATTATCTACCAGATTATTTACTGGGCACCTTACATTCTTTATGTTTTTATATAATAGAGGCATGAAGTGGGTAACATTTCTCCTCAATTTGAAGATACTCATTTTCGTGTTCCTGAAATTCGGACGTGCCTTACCGTCAATATATTCATTTAATGTAATCTGTACTCTCCTCCCCTTCCAAAAAATTGTATTAAATTAAAGGAGCATCTTATAACCAATGGAGTTACAACACAGTTAACTCTTAGAACAGAGTTAATGTGGTATTAAATTCTCCCCACTTTTAGGGGGGGAAATTGAGGCTCAGAAAGGATAAACAGCTTGCCTGAGGGCTTACAGCTTGCAAGGGGGCTAAGCCAGGCCTGGAGACCACGACTCAACCACTTGAAATCCCACAGTCTTTCTACTCTAATAGAAAAGGAAAAATAATTTGCTATGACTGGTTTGAAAGAAATCACCCTCAAGAATGTTTCGTTAAACACTTAACTATGTGTTTGGGTAGATAGGATGCAAAAGAGTGAAACAAGAGCGCTTAGAACTATCTTGAACTCACCAAAATAGAAACTGAAACTGCAGCTGTCTGTCAACTGGGGTAACGCTGACCTCGGGATGTTTATGGGGGTTAAGTGAGGTATTATATGGAGAAGCCCAACACAGATGTAAGGCAGTGATGTTATTTTGTCCAAAGAAACGAAATCTCCCGTGTGGGCAGCCCTGGGAGACATGATCTCAGAAACCACGAGGGCAGCAGCAAAGTGCAGCCTCTCTTCTCGTTAATCAGGGACCAATATGGAGGCATTTCATCACTGTGTACTATCTGATCAATGAGTCTTAAATGTAAGAGATGAGGAACTTTAGGCAACAGTGGAGTGAGTCTTAACATACACCTACGCCTTTCCACTTACCCAAACTAAGGAAATAACATTTTAAACTTTAGAGTTCCAAACCAACAAGCTACTCAGAGGAAACCCACAGATAAGGAGGAAAAGTAACTTTTGTCACTTCCAGCATGAATCCACAATTCTAAATTGATCACTTCCAAGTTGTCCAAAGATGTAGCTTTTAAGGAAAAGAGGAGCCTCTAGCAGAAAGCACACCACAGGCTGTGTGTCCTCACCCATCAGCCTCTCAGATGCAGTTTTTCCTTTAACTGCTTCATTTGCAAATGAGTTCTTCCAGCTTCTGAAAGCTAAACCTGTCCAGAAAGAGTAGGAGTCAGAGTAGCAGAAAGAAAGTATAGATACTGGTCTCTCCACACCCGGGCAGTGAGCACACTGTCCTGCCTTCTACCAGCAGCTTCTCCCCCGTTTCAGGAAAACAAGCCCTGCCTTCTACCAGCAGCTTCTCCCCCGTTTCAGGATAACAAGCCCACAAGAAACAATGCAAGGAAGATGGGAACATTATGGAAGGTGTGACATGAAAGATGACCTTTCTAATCAGTTCACCACTTTTAATATTATACACATGTAGGCTATTAGAAAGACTTACTTTTACTAAGCTGACTACAGAAACAAGCAAGATTTTGCAAGTAGGGCCAAAGAGCCAGTTTTGACCAGGTCCTTCTCATTGACGACCATTGACGATTTACAATCATTTATGACCACTGCTGCTCAGGCACCGCATTACCTAACATGCCACAGGGCACAAAGTGCACAACATTCACTGCAACAAATATTTTACCAAAGCAAATAGAAAAGAGTCTGCCACTCTGGCTGCACACCCAGATCATACTCTAATACTCAACTGCCTACTTAACTTCTCCACCTGGATGCCTAAAAAGCCTCTCTAGACTTAATATGGTCAAAATATAACTCTTTATTGATACCTTTCTCCACCCCCAAACCTAAGCCTCCCTAAACATTCCCAGTCTCAGAAAAGAGCTGCACCAGGCACTCCAATGCTCCTGTGAAAACAGTGACATCTTCAAGTCCTGCCCTTTCACATCCATTAAGCTGCAGTGTAGTCCACTCCAACTCCCAAATCTATCCACTTCTATCTTCACAGCCACTCTGGTCCAAACCACCACCTCTCTTGCCCTCTAACTTGACTCACCTCTCTGATCCTGTTACCTAGCCCACCCTTTCCCCCATTCACATACCAAGTCCATCCCACAGAGTAGCCAAGGCAATTTTTCAGTCCTTTGTTCAAAAGGCTCTGAAGCCTTTCTAGTGCCTTCAAATTAAAGTTCAAACCACAAAGCCCTACACAGTCTAGCCCCAGCCTACCTTTCCTCTTTCACTTTATTGCACTCACCCCTGGCTACCTCTCTGTCCTCAACTACCAATCCTCGTCCCTACAGCTGACTCTGTACTAACTATCCAGTCTTCTTTCTGTTTCTAATTCCTGCTTCTAAGCCTTTCCCTTATTACTCCTTCTTCTTGGAAGATTGTCCCCAGAGCCAGATCTTCCCAAAGCTGGCTCCTCGTCATTCAGATTTCAGTTCAAATACCTTCTCTGAGGCCTTTCTAGAACACTTCATCAAAGTCACTCTCCGTCACACACCCCTCTCTTATTTTCTTCACGTGAGCTGGGACTTTTTCTGTACTATTCACTATTGTACCCCTAGTGCCCAGCACTGGCAAGTACCCAATTATTTCCACGCATTCAACCCATATATAAGCACCTGCTATATGCCAAACACTAATCTAGGTAACAAAGACAGTGGTAAACAGACAAGTGGCTCTCACGGAGCTTTATTCTCTGAAGGGAAGCAGGCTAACAAACATCAAGGGGTGATATGTAACCAAGAAAAATTAAGGATACGGGAGACAGAGTGAAGGAGAGGTACTATTTTACATAGCGCAATCAAATAAGGCCTTGCCAATAAGGTGGCATTTGGGCAGACTTGAAGGAGGTAATGAGATAAACCACAGTTATCGTCCTCAAGCAGAGAAATAACATGTGCTAAGGGCCTGAGCAGGGATGGAGTTAGGTGCTGAAGAAACAGAAAGGATTCCACTGTGGAGCCTAATATACAAGGTGGAAAGCGGTAGGAGATGAGGTCAGAGAGGCAGTAGGGGCCTTGCAGGCCACTGAAAGGACTTGAGCTTTACTCATCCAGTTGAGAAGACATTAAAAGGTTGGGGCAGAAGGCTGCCAGGATGTGATTTATGTTTTAAAAGGGTCACTCTAGCTGTCTAGAGAAAAGATTGAAAGGAACAAGGCTGCTATGATAATGGCTTGCAGTAGAGAATGAAAAGGGATTGCATTCTGGACATCTGTCTAAAATAAACAGAATTTGCTAACAGACTGTGGGATGTGAGATAAGAAGTCAAGGATGAGTCCATGACTTTTAGGTTGAGCTCCTGTAATAATGGAATTGCTATTTACTTCTAGGGAAAAGGGTATTGTTTTGGACACATTACGTCTGAGATGTCTATTAGTCATCTAAGTGGTAATTTCAAGTATACGAGTCTGGAAGTGAGATAGATCTGGACTGAAAATATGTATATTTGTATTTGAGAATCTTCAGTTTGTAGAAATTATATAAAGCCATGAAGCTACATGAGATCACCCACAGCTAGGGAGAATATGGAAAAGAGGTCCTGGGGTACATCACAATATTTAAGGATCAGGAAGATGGGGAACCAGCAAAGAAAACTAAGAAACAGCCAGTGAGGAGAGAGAAGACAAGAGTGTGTTACCCACAGTCCAAACAACGTGTCGAAATTAATGTCAGATCTTAGTATCCGACCTGCCACTGATTAAAGATTTAAATCACAGAATCCAGTCAATAAAGATAACCTCCAGAAAACTAATATTCTCTTGCCAGGAATGTTACTCTGGGCTGTTTCCTTCATGCTTCAAAAAATAAAGACTTCCATTTCAGGAGCAATTTACTCTTTACTCACTCCTTCATAAATACAACTACTACCTGCCAGATACTAGATCAGGATCTGGGATGCACACAAATAAACTCCCTCTTTGCACCTCGGGCTTCAAATCACTCCTACTGGGAAGAAACTCCATTAACATAAAAAGAACTCAGCTGGTAGTTGAGCAAGGCGACGTCCACATGCCATCCACTTGGGTGGCAGAGGGAGGTCAGAGGGCAGCTGCTCCAGGTGGCCCCAGGTTGCTACTCACTGGCGTCCAATAGATTGACAACTATCAGACTTACCTTCCCACTGCCGCCTTCTCTGAGTACAGAGGGCGAGGAACACAATTTTAATGAAGGACAAAATCAATCCTTTCCCACCGGGCCAAACCGTGTGGTCTCCCTCCACGTCTCCAGCTACCCAGGCCCACGCTCAAACCCCTTGGCCTCCACCCTACCCCCTGGCCACAGGACCTCGCCCTAAACCGCTGGAGCCACCGCACTACAAGTCCCACCAGGCACCGCGCGTCCGTAACCAGCCGGTCTACGCTCCGCCGCTGCGGGGCCACCTGGGGCCTGTAGTCTCCACTTCCCCAGTCGCCAGTCAGTACCTGGAAGCGATAGAGGAAGGCTTCGGGCCAGAGGAAGAAATAGGCCGGGCTGATGAGACCGAGTTTGCCGACTAAGGGCACCGCGACGGTGGCGGCGAACCAATAGCGCGTGATGGCCGGGATGCTCCTGAACCAGTCCCCGATGTCCGACATCTTCGCCTCTTCGGTGGCCGGGATGTGCAAAGCCGCCCGACTCCTGTCCCGGCCCCCTCACGACGCGGTCCGCTGGGCGAGTGGGAGGTGTCGAGGCGGAAGCCGCCCCAGCCCCGTTGCAGAACGCGGAGACCGTCAGACGTGGCGCCACCGAATTCGGACGAGCGAGGGAGAATTCGGCAGCGAAACTTCCCCTTCCGGCGGCCGACGACGACGTTAACCAGAAGTCCCGCCGCTTAAAGGGCGAGCACCGTTTTTACCACTGGGCAGAAGCTCGGTGGTTCGAAGGCGGGAGGGCGAGGGACGGGTCCAGGAGGGGCCGACCTCACGACTGGTGGGGAACAGTGGTTGCCAGGAGCAACGACAGATACTCCAGCCAATAGCGAGGCTGAACGCCCTCTACCCAGTTCCTGCCGGATTTATAGCCCAGGTGGCTCCACTTGGAGGGTGTTTAAAGGGGAAGGAGGAAAATAAAGTACAATGTAGCCCCTCAATTGTCCATCCTTTCCACAAATGTTTATTGAGGGCTTAGTAAGTGCGAGATAGGGTTTTAGACTCTGGAGGTGCTGCAGCTATCAGAGCTGTTGTGGTACCTTCTCTCCTGGAGCTTCCATACAAAGGTAGGGAGGTAATGAACAAATAATTGAATAAGATAATTTCAAGAGAGTGGTAAGAAAAATAAGGAAGATAAGTTAGGATAGTGGGGATAGAGTGATGGAGTGGGAGTGCAGAAGTGTGGGGAGAGATGGCCGCTTTCGATGAGAAAGGTCAGGGAGAAGCTGGAGGAGGTGATCTTTGAGCTGAGCCCCCCCCCCCCACACACACACACACAGATCTGGAGAGTTTTCCACACAGAGAAAACAGCCACTCTGCACACACAAAATGTTGCCTGCCATTTCAGTAAACAGAATGTTGACTTCTATTCCAGTAAACAGGGAATGTTGCCTGCCATCAGGCCCTTAGCCACTGCAGCCACCCAGATGGTGTGCCCTGAGGAGAATTCAGGGCGGAGAAAAACAGGATACTGGCCCTAAATAGTTAAGGTGCACATCTAAGGAATATTTTCAATGAGCCAGATTATTGCACCTTCCCATACAAAGAAAAGCACTAAAATCTTTACCTTGAGATGTCTGATTTTTGCAATTAGCAGTAATCTTTTGACATTTGACTACATGGTTTTTTTGTTTGTTTCAGCAAAAACTCCTATATATCTTGGCTTCTCCCTTACCTCTTTGGAGCAGTTCCTCAGAGCTATCTGAGAGGCTATGTCCTGAGCTATAGTCCTCAGTAAATTCCTCGAATAAAATTTAGCTCACAACTTTTAGGTTATGTGATTTTTCTTCAGTCAACAACTCCAACTGGCTTGCAATTTGGAGGAACTGAAAGCAGAAATGATCATGACTCTTAATCTAGTTTGCTGGGTACGACCTAAATTACAAGTAGACGAAAATCCCTCTTGTTTTTAAAAGAATCTATCAAAGGATACAGAGTAGAACTTTTCCTGTTGTCTTTAGATATAGGACTGTTGGGCTGCACCCTGCAGGCCTGCAAGCCCTGCACTTGCCCAGCTTCAAGACCAAAGAAAGAGCCCAGAGTCAGCCACAGAGACATCAAAGGTTTAATGGATAGGGGGAGCTTACACATCTGAAGCAAGGTCCTGGAGCGACACCTCACCATGTGTGGCAGACAGTGGGCAGGATATGGCAGCGGTCTTTGCTACCTGGGGGAGAGAGAGGTTACCAGTTATAGGGGGAATTGACTTCAGGTTGGGTTATCGGTTACCAGGGAAACTATTGGAGGAGCATGCCCCTCACCGCCCCTTTGATAAACTATCCTGGGGGAAATGTTCTGATCTAAAGATTAGAACAATCACTAGCTGGGTCATGGGGTAGGAAGGTCAGTCATGTGAGTAGGGTGTAGGTGAAGTACGTACGTACTGGTCCAGCAGGGGATGTACAGAGACAAGAGAACAGTCATCTTGATTGGCCTGATCATATAAGGACCTACAGTTTAAGACTGATGAGGCCATCCAGTAGAGACCACTAGGAACACACCTATAGTCCAGAAGGTTAAATTTCTTAACTTGCTAGGAGGGAGACTGCACTCCAGAGGAAACTGAAACATCTCACCAAACTAAAGAGAATAGGGTCATTATTGGATTATAAGGAAGGGTTGAATTGTGGTATAATTTAAATGAAGCAGTGTTTTGATAGGCTCAAAACAGAGCAGAGCTGTCTGTAAAAGTGTTAACATCAGGCCTAAGCCTGAGCTGAAAAGCAGACCCAGGGTCCTCTTTCCTTAGAAATCTCAAAATTAAGATAAGTGTGGGGCTTCCCTGGTGGTGCAGTGGTTAAGAATCCACCTGCCAATGCAGGAGACATGGGTTCGAGCCCTGGTCCCGGAAGATCCCACATGCCATGGAACAACTAAGCCCATGTGCCACAACTACTGAGCCTGCGCTCTAGGGCCCACGAGCCACAACTACTGAAGCCCGCGTGCCTAGAGCCCGTGCACGCAACAAGAGAAGCCACCGCAGTGAGAAGCCTGCACACTACAACGAAGAGTAGCCCCTGCTCGTCGCAACCAGAGAAAAGCCCGCGTGCAGCAACAAAGATGCAAAAGCAGCCAAAAATAAATAAAAATAAATTTTTTTAAAAATACAGTACTCCTATGATTTAAAAAAAAAAAAAGATAAGTGTGGAATGTTGGGTCTGAAAACTCCTTATCTAAAGCTTTGCACCTGGATTTAAAATCCTGTGTCAAAATGACCCGTATGCCTCAGGTCCTTCAGCAAGAATGGGGTGTTCCATCCACACTGATTTCAAACAGCAAAGTTTCTGCCAATCTGTTATTTTGGAGAACATTTCTTAGCACCATGTCCTTGATGTTAATTAACAAAAGCATTTTTTACAGAACAAAAAGGCACTAAATATTCCATAGTCTAATGAGACTATACAATATTCGGGGATCTAAGAAATATCAAGCATAGTAAATATATGAAGAAACGTCTCACCTGTACAAAGCTGGTGGGAGTGTAAATTGGTACAACCTTATAAGCTAATTTTGATATAAAAGAAAAGCTAGTACGTTGTATAAATAGATATTTAGAAATCTCGCCTAAGTTTCCTTCTCTACATCTCCACCCATTTTCTTTTACCTACTACCCATTGTATCCAAGGTACAGTGAGAAAAAAATGGGTTATCTACCTTAGGTGGAGGGATAAATAAGGTTTCTCTGATGAAATCGTAAGTAAGGTACGTGAGAAAAAAAACAAGGATAAAACAACATACATCCAGTGTTTGTCAGTATTTATTTCTAGGTTGTACTCTAGAATTCACTGAGTGTGTGCTCTGGAATTCAACTTCAGGGTTTAGAAACACAAGTTTAAATTGTGACTATGCCACTTATTAGCAATATCATGTTTTTAAAATGAAACCTCAGGACTTCCCTGGCGGTCCAGTGGTTAAGACTCCGTGCCCCCCACTGCAGGGTGTATGGGTTCGATCCCTGGATGGGGAATTAAGATCCCGCACGCTGCATGACACAGCAAAAAATAAAATAAAATAATCTCTCTGTGTCTCAGTCTCTTCATCTGTAAAATGGGTGGGGAGAAGGTAACTCATAGGATTGTTGTGAAGATGTACAAGAGACAAATTCATGTCTAGTGGTTGAAGCAGTATACTTATTACAATTCTCTTTGTGCTTATTTCTCCTTTTGAAATGTTTAAAATGAAAATGTATCTATCACTTTTGTAATTTAAACAAGTTGATCGGTAAGAGTGCTTGTCTGCCTTCAAATTGTCCTACCTTAATGACAGAGCAGTGTTTCCAAATGAGAGTGAGTATGAGGGTCACCAGTGAGAACTTGGCCCATCCCCCAGAGACTTCAAGTTTCATAAGCTTGAGGTGGTCCTAGAAATCGGCATTTTCAAAAGCCCTTCCCCCACCCAACATGTGATTCTGATGCAAGTTATCTGCAGACCATTCTTTGAGAACCATCAGACTAGATGGACATTCAGGATTTTCCCATTTCTCTTTATTATAAAATCACTCTACATTGTGATAAACTATTCTGGGCATAAAACACAAAGGTGTTTAGTTCTTAGTTCTCTTAAATAGAGGATTTCCCCAGTGCTCCAGATAGCGTGCTCTAGAATTCAATCACTTAGCTTGTAAGAAAGTTCCTGTGTTACTGTCATCAACACAAGTCATCATTTAAAAACATGCAGGTAATGATACCAGGCTACGTTCTAGGAAAAAATGTGGAGGTTTGAGGGAAACAGGCGCTCTCGTGAATTACTGATGAGAATATATATTGGTACCCCTCCAGCAAGCAACTTGGCAATATTTAAATTCATTTCTAGGAATTTAAATTTTAGGTACACTCAAACTTTTTTTTTAATGTGCAGGGATAATCATTGCTGCATTTTCTGAAATAGCAAAAGACTAGAAATAGCTGATTATCTGTCAATAAGAAACTGATTAAATAAACTACACTTTATCCATATAATTGAATACTATACAAACTTTATTAGAAAAAAATAATTTTGTATGCCCCCCACATGGAATAATCTCTAATAACATACAGCATTAACACAAGAGTAATAGTACAAGACACATGCTACGCCATTACACAGATGAATTGTACAGAAGGCACACACAAAAATATACCCACAGTATTTGCTTGAAACAGTGGTTACCTTTGGGAAGGGAAACTCGGAGGCTGGGAGACAGGAGTGGGAAGGAGGCGTTTCATTGCATATCCTTTTGTGCCTTTTAAATTTTATCCCAATTATATGTACTTGTGTTTTGAAGTTAACTTTAAAAATAAGTAGAAAGGAAGTTTCTTCAGAAAGGAACAGGTTCAATGTCAACATCTTCAGAAAGATTGAGAAATAGAAAAGATAACCTCAACAATGTCTCTCCTGCTGTAATTGAAATATATTTCCTATTGTTTCTCTAAAAAAAAAGAACTTAAAAAAACTGGAGGGAGACCAACAACGGAGAACACATTATTGCCTGGTGATAGATCTCAGCACTATGCTGCTGAGTGATGCTGACAGACAGGGAACTGATGATTTAAATACGTTTCTGTCACAACAGTTACATAGGAACACCATCCTAGTGGGATGCCTGCCACGTTAGTGCCGTCTCGCTTCAAGAAATCCAAAGCACGTTGCAAAGATGTAATTAATCTTTATGTTAACTAGTAGGCGGTTTTGTTAGCCCCATCTTGCAGATGAAGAAGCTATGGCAAGAATAATAATTTGTCTCTG